TATATACAGCAGAAATTCAACATCTTTTCCTGTTCTCACAGATGTAATCACAGACTACAGAAACTTTTCAGAATAGGGATTAATTCTGAAGCAATGTTATTGGGGAATCTATATCCCTGGAGGTAAAAAATAAATTAGATTTAAAAGAGGACTGGGATAAGATAAAATGTTGAGCAATTGTAACACCCAGAAACCTAATTTAAACACATTAAAATGTAATTAAGAGGTGGTAGAAAATCAGGTTAAGCAAAACTTCAATAGATGGAAATTGATGCCTCTCTCATTCTTGAGAAGGATGAAGACAGCAAGAATGAAGGTACTTCCAAGATTTCTGTCTTGTTCTAGACCTTCCTTATGCCTCTCAATGACCATTACTAAAATTTATGTGGTTTAAAGTCAGGGTCCCATGCTATTGTAACCATCGCAGTTCGTGCCCTCCACTTCTCCACCCCGCAGGTTCATCCTGCAACACCTGGGGCGCGAACCCAAGTCTCTGGCGTAACACAACAGGGAACCAGCTGCATGAGCTAAAGGAGACCTCTCTCAGCCTAGGTGGCTGAGATCCCTGCAATGTGTAGGGATGGCAATTTTTTTCACAATACAAATTCTTGTGATTACTGTATTTAAATTGCAGAATTTATTTTCATAATGCTTTGCTTTGTTCTGCTGGAAGCAAGCAGGGCAGGCAGGAGAAAGTGAAACTAGAAACGTGATCGAAAAGACAGGGGTTATGCAGAGAGGAACTGATTAAAGCACCAGGGAGAGTCTGAAGGAGAGTCATTTTACATGCAGGGTTCAAAGCACAGGGATCAGTCCAAGACATGGTCAAACAGGCAAGGTCAAAACACAGAGAGTGGAGAAAACACCGGGGAAAGGTGAGAAGAAGAAAATGAGACTGTAAGATGAGAGATTCACAAATTAGTAAATTTGGCATGCCTAACTTATTTCCACAGTTACTGTACATCCTTTCAGATGTATATAAAATATCAGAAAATACAGGAGGAATACAAGAGTAAGAAAAGGAGGTTGGCACTTTCAAAGCAATTGAAGAATCTAAAACCATTCACATCTACATAAAGCCACCAATTCACATTCATGGAGAGAATATGAGTAAAAATTAATATTCAGTATTGGAAGAAACACCAATTACAAGCCAAATATGATAAATCTGGAAGCACTTACTGTTGGAAGAATTGCAAGGAAAATCTGGCATATAAATCTGGCATCGTAAACATTTTTTGGTATGAAAATAAATTGGAAAAAGATTATTGAAGAAATATAAAAACATCCTCATTAGGAGTTCTTTTCTGTATGGGACAAACAATAGATGAATAGCCTTTAGAGGCAGAGTGATTCTTGTTTAGAACTGTCAGAACTGCAGCCATGAAATAAATCAATAGAAAGTGGTTAAAGCTGGACAGACTTTGTGTTCAAATGAAGAAGGATTCTATGAATGAAATCTCATGAAGAATATTACCCACAGAAATATAAATCAACCACAACATATACATGTGCAAAAAAGATGGGCAAAATGGGAAAGATTGCATGTCAAGTCTCTCAGTAATGAGATATTAACAAAGAGCAATAGTCACAAACAAGAACTTGTATAAAATCGCCCCCCTGCTTTTTGTTCTGTACTTCATACTGTATATATTTCTTGTCTTATGCATGTAAACAGGGAATATTGTGTGTCTCACAATATCTAAATAAAAAAAAATACAAAGAAATCACCAGTGTTCACTTACTTCAGTGTTGTTAATTTACAGTTGGGATCCCTCAGAGCTGCAGACAGCAGTTTCACTCCTGAATCCCTCAGGTTATTGTAACTCAGATCCAGCTCTCTCAGACTGGAGAGTTGAGACTGAAGAGCAGAGGCCAGATCTTCACAACATCTCTCTGTTAGTCCACATCTCACCATCCTGTAGACAAAAAGACAGGAGCACAGCTGAACATCTGCACAGCTCATCCACATCTTTCTTTCCAAGTCTTCACTACAACACTCAGCTCAGCAGTAATATACAACATCATGTCATTATCCATCTCAGAGTGTCCATGGATGAGGATGATGATGAAGATAACAGCTGCTTCAAATTTTGGGTTCCAGAAGGAAGAAGAAAGATGAGAAGAAACTGTCATGAAGGGAGACAGTGGGAAACAGGGAGACACATGGAGCTATAGTGAAAGAGGAAACAGAAAGAGACTTTGACTTTCAATAAATTGTTTCACATTTATTATTATATTTTATTATTATGTCATCTTCTTATAGTTATTTTTAGTTAGTTATAGGATTGTTGTTCTAAGTGGACTGGAGCTTTTATTATTGTTATTTGTAGATATGTTGAGAACAACATTCCCATTTGAAGAAAGAAAAAAAACAAACAGGGTTTTAAGCATAACAACACATACTGTAAAATAAAAATACTAAACAATAATATTGTGAAGCAGCAAACAGCATGTACACACATAACCCCTATATACTATATGAATCCCACTAAAAAGAAAAAAACAAAACGATAATGAAACTAAACAAACCCCATCCCTACCAAAAATATACAACACTGCACACTTTTTACACGTGACTCTCTACACAGACACTCAAATGTAACATAGTCAAAACACACCGACACCTTCAAACAAGAATCTCTACAGTTTAACTGGAGGCATCAAGGGCGACTGTTTTTTTTTATTGAAAAAATAAATTAAATAAGAAACAATGACGTTTCCCGGCCTAACTTAGGAATTGCATGACTTTAAAAGCTATAATAAACGGGTTTATTTAAAAAAAAAAACTATATGCGCACAAAACCGATGATTTTTCTTCATCGTGATCAGCTTGAAAACTTACGCTGTACGTTTTTAATAATTAAACGTTTAAAACACTTGAATTTCATAAACACAAAACAAAAAAAAAACATATTCTACTACCTTTTTGCGGTATGAAGCAGATCAGTAGGTCTTTTTATCCCAATCAGAGTCTGAGAAATTAGCTCCCCGCCCACTGCTCTGTGTCAGAGAAGAGGTGGCACTGAGAGAGGGAGGAGGCGCGGAGCTCTGTAATACAGAATGAGCCGTCTGCAGCCTGGAACGATTAAGGCACAGATCGCGTCTGCCTTTATAATTTAGGTTTTAAAATTAAGAAACATAAATCATTTCCTTTGACTTCTAAGTCATTTAACTATCATTTAGGAGAGCTACTTTCTCACCATTTAGATCTATTTTTTAAACCACTGTTAAACAAAGCAGAAGTTTATTGTACTTCCTAATGACATGACGTGGAAATATTATAAATTTTAATCTCCTTTAGGTTTTTAAAGATTTTTGCAAAGTGTCATCAAAACAAATACCACAAAACTATTCTCGATTGTATATATACTTAGTTCAATATTTGAAATACGAATCATTGTTCAAATGTACGTTAAATCCGAGATTTGGCAAATAAGTAAAATACAAAATTAGTAAAGAAAATTTGGGCAAAATGTATTTTAAAATATTTTGCTATCAACAATTAATCACAGTCTTAACTGTTTATAACAATTAAATGTATTAACTAAGGAATAGGATGGCACAGTTGTTAGTATGCTTTTGGTAAGTTTTTTCATAAATACAACAGTAGCACCAGATGTCTCAGTGGCTTTCAAAGTTAAATTATGTATGCAAATCTGTGAACTTGAAAATAACTAAACTATCCATCCATTTCTAATGGTGGTGAAGTGGTTAGCATTGCTATCCTGCAGTGCTGGGGCCCCAGGTTCAATTCCTGGGGTACAGTATGTGTGGAGTTTGCATGTTCTCTCTGGGTTCATGTGAGTTGTCTCCAGGTACTCTACAGGTTCCTACATACTGGTAGGTTAATTGGCTTATGGGAATACTGGCCCTGGTGTGTGTGTGTGTTTCTGTCTGCTTGTCTGCCCTGTGATGTATTCTGTGTATTCTGCCTTGTGTCTGTTGCTTACTGGGATAGGCTCCAGCTCCCCTGTACTGGATAAAGAAATTAGAAAAGGGATGGAATTAAAGGAATTGTGTAACTATACACAGTGATTAAACCCACTTTGAGATGGCGGGATCTGAGGATAAATTATTTTATAGTGCTGGGTTAAAAAAAAAAACTTTTCCACTTCTCTAGCACATCAGTATCCATAAGTAGTCTGTATTTAAACAAAATGCCTAACCCTCTTAGGAAGTGTCCTTGTTATCAGTGTATTCCACAACTTTCCCCAAATTATCTTTCTCCTACCTACATCTCTAGTCTTAACATGCTCCATGAGAACTTACTTTTAACCTGTGCCTTTTCATCTACCACATGGTAACAAACACTCTTTGTCTAATTTTATTGTGCCTGCCATTTTTTGCAGCCTGCAGATAACACTTTCAGTTATTCTAGATTAAACCTTTTCTACTACTTTGAGAAACTTAAAATCCCTTTCTAATTTTCATCCCTGTCCTAACTTCTCTTCATTCTTCATGTCAACTATACCATTACTACAGGGAGTTTCAGGTCCACATTCCAGCTTCTCTGTTGTTCATTTATTTCTTTCTCACTTTACTTTCTTAACTCTACCGCTAGTAGATTGTTTGTCTGTACATCCTCCCTTGCTTCTTTTTCACTTTCCATCCTTCTCCTTCAGTGTCTGCAACCTGGCATCTCTTATTCTAACCATACCTTGAATATCCCTATACCCTGCATTCATGTCTAATATATATGTATGCTGTTATTTTGCACATTGTTTTTTTTTTGCAAGAGCACTCCAGACACGCTGTTACTATCCTGAATATAACTCCTATTGTTTTGCTCCCTGCAATAACTCAGCCTAACCTAAATCCTCAAAATCAGCTTGTATTAATTGGTTTAAATCACAAACATCATATGTAAATACCGGCCATATATACAGTAGCATTAAAAAAAAGGTGCATCCTGGAACGTCACACTGATTTATTTTCTTTTAAAAGGAAGTAGAGAAACCAGAAGGGCTTCTTTTTCTAAAATTGATGACTGCACATCCTGTTCACTGGGGTAATTAAATCCACACCGAGCAATCTCCAATATGTTCAGAATTTGACAGCCAGAATCCTGATTGGGTTGCATTACACCTGTCTTCAAGTCCTTGCACTGTGTTCCTATCAGGTTTTAAGTAAACTTCAAAATCCTCATCCTCATTCAGTACCTGTCTGGCTTATTATCTGTCTACTCCCCACCTTGCAACCTTCATTCGTCTGACTCTGGTCTTCTAGCTGTCCTCAAAAATATCTACATTCTGTGGGTGACAGGGCCTTCTCTAGTTGCACCCCAGAGCTCTGGATTTGTATCTCCAGTGATATCAGAGTCACCCACCCTGAGTGCATTTAAATCTAAACTCAAGACCTTTCTTTTTAGAAAGGTTGTTTTTTAGTGTCTGTATCTGCTTCATTTTCTAACTTTGGTAGTACTTCTAACTGCTTGTCTTTCTTATATGTATTTACTTTGTAATGTGTGGTCCTTATAACTGTTTTTACACCTGCTATATTGTTTTAAGATGCTTAGATATGTAATACATAAAATAAAGTTTATTATTATTGTTATAGAGAAACATGATCAGATTTTCCCTGGTTCAGAAAAAGAGATCTAAACTATACTGGTTTGTCACTCACACCCTGTTTGCTAAATGGCTTTGCATACTGATCCGATCAATCTAATTGTACATAATTTCTGTGCTTTCCCTATCCTGTTAGATTTATAATTATAATCTCCTTCTTGAAATGAGTCATTTCTAAATACTTGTTTTCACTGTTACCATCTTTCACCAACACAGTGACAAAATATACACTGATTTTAACTTGACAGCTGCTGAGTCCTAAATTCATCCTTCTACCAACAATAAATACAAAAATGTAAGATTTCTATATTTATGTCTTTATTTAGTGATTCCATTAGTGACAGGCTAAATTACTGTCTTGATAAAATGTATTTTATGTGTTGCAAAAAAAACCTGCTTTAACACAATATATTTAAACATATTTAAAAATCATTTTCCCCTCGCAATCTACCTGAATGCTCAACTATTTAAGAAGCCTTCCATGAAACCAAGTTTACTACTAATTCATATAAGGCTTCCTGATAAAATTACTCTGTTTTTCTGTGTTAATTTTCAGACTTTTTATCCAATCAAACTTTCATTATCACCCTGCCAGAAATGCACCTGATTATTCAACCTCACTTCTGCCAAAGCTGTTTCAGGTTCAGACATTCTTTTGTAACACACAGCTTTCTCTGATTTTTTTGTATATCTAAGCTTTGCAAGTGTCCCTGCATCCCTCTTCTACACTGTGTCTGGTCATTACTTTTTTCCTGTTTGCTTATTTCAAAGTAACACCAGCTCCATTACTGAAACGTTTTGCTCATGTGCATTTTTGTACTTATTTACATCTCCAACACTTTTATTGTCCTAAATTTTAATTTGCCTTAATTGTTTAGACTAAAATTTAGTTTCACCCTTAAAAAGCTTACATTTTCTCTATCTTTTGTTTCTTGTCCTACAGAGCACTTTAATTGTGAAATTTATATAAGAATTTATAATAAGAAATTAGATTGCTCATAAATAGATTATTTCATGATTTTCTAATTGAATAAAATGAGTTTATGTGTCAAATACGCAGCCTACGTACTATGATACAGTGCGCGCTAATACTAGAGTGGACACACGAGCTACTACTGCATGTAATTCTATACCATTGAATAGGAATGTTTGCTACGAATATACATGACCAATTGTATTTAAAAATCGTAATCTCCAGCAAATAGGGAGGTAGGAGAATGTGAGTGCCAATCCAATCTTGTGAGCACGGGAAAGCGTGATAGATAATAGAAAAAATACTTAAAAACTGTTCTAGGTTAATTTGAGAAAAATACACCAGGTAGGAGAATGTGCATGGTTTTGGAACACTGGCAATCTTGCGAGCACAGAAAAGCATGATAGATAGAAAAATATTTAAGGACTGTTCTAAGTTAATTTGAGAAAAATACACCAAACGTCTCTGTGTTTCGCTCCCATGAGCATGAAATAAAAACTTTTTTTTAACTTCTGAGACGGACTACTGAAACAGAAACAGGGGAAAATGCAAGCTTGAGGATTGCTAAAGCAGGTAAGACCCACACTATTTGTGAAGAACTTTGTTTACCGTTGGCAAAAGAGCTGACACATATTGTTACGGGGCGGAATAAGGACCCTAAGCAAAATCCTCTGAACTCAGAAGTACCAGCTGGAGTTTATCCAAAAACGTGGGTCAGGAGGTCAGGCCAGGGTCAAAAACCAGCAAATCCACAATAACCAAGTCGAGATCCAGAAGACGGGGAACGGGGAACGGGGAACGGGGAACGGGGAACGGGGCAGCTCTAGCTAGGTAAAACCCAATACTGAGCAAGGAGTGATAAGTCAGGTTGGTTTAATTAGGCAGGTGGAAGAATGTGTATCTGATTAGTTAATTGGAAACTGCACTGGAATGTGAAGGAGTTGATTAAGGGCGGTGAGTTCTCCAGAGACGTGACGTAACACATATTATGTGTGGAGAAAAAGCTGCAAAACAGCTTGACCTGCTGCCCTTTTCGATTTATTGATATGGCAGATGATGTCAAAAGTTCGCCAATACAGCACGTTAAAATGAGCAGATGCTTTTCACAGCAATTAGATGAGTCTGTAGATGCAGTTGATTTGGCCAATTTGCAAATTTACGTTAGATATGAGCTTGAAGGCACGTCTCATGAGGACTTTTTGTTCCATAAGCCGCTACCAACAAAAACTACAGGAGAGCATATATTTCAGCTTCTGAATGAATTTATCGAAGAGAATGGCCTCGACTGGAAAAAATGCATCGGAGTTTGTACAGATGGTACTAGAGTGATAACAGGCAGACACAGCGGTGTAGTTGCACAAATCAGAGAGAGAGGTTCCTCCAGATATGAAGTGGACGCACTGCAGCATCCACCGCAAGGCCTTCACCGTCAAGAAAATGCCTGAGGATTTAAAATCTATTAGACTCTGCTGTCTAAAGGCTCAACCAATGAATTCACATCTGCTTTGCTTGACTAAACAGGCTCACCCATCTCAC